GGTAAAAAAATAGGTGGCTGGGGTTGGTGTTTTGTTTTTTTTTTTCGAGGTATGCAGAAATTCTGTGCCTTAATATAACTTCGCGAGAATCTTCAGAAAAATGAATGGGCGTTGGGACAGCCTCCGTGCACCTACAGGTGCATCACGGCTCCAAAATGGCCTCTGGAGCCCACCTGAGCTTATTTTTATTAGTGGTGGATAGAATATGTGACTTAATCTTGCTCACCTGGGTTATTCTCTTAATTGGGGGTTAAAAAAACAAACAGCTTAGGCTTGTGTGTAGTCATGAGACAGGATTAAAAGCTGAGAACAAATAATTTCTTCTCAGTTCTGTGTAATCCTGGGTGGCTCGCTTCTCTGCTAGCTTGGTTTCCTCATCAGTAAGGAGGAAAGGCAGCGTGCTCCAGCCACCTGAAGTGTAGGGGCACTGTCAACTGATGTTGCATGGGCAGATGCAGAGTTACTGGTGGAGGGAACGCCAGGGATTCTTGTGCTTAACTTTAAACAAGCATTTAGCAAGAAGCTTCAAAAGCCTCTGCACTGTGCATGCATCGAAAACATGGTGAAGAGTTGCACTGGAGATGGAAGGAAGTCAAAGGAAGTCATCTTCTCTCCCCTTTGTTTTCTTCTGGAGTCTTACAAGTGATTCACAGCTTTGGGGTGTTGTCACACCTCAACATACAAATCCTCTGCACTTTTTATATTGTGGACAGGAATGACCTTAGAGCTCCCGACGCTTAGAAAAATCTGCTTGGGAATTGGATTTATCAACCAGGTGGTGTGAATAATCAAAGCATCATGACCGACTGGCTTAGTGGGATTCCTGCTGGGGTCAGTCATGGCTGCGATGCGTTGGGGAAGGATCAGGCAGCAACGCTAACATCTCTCACCCAGCTCAGGCAAGGCTACCTTGCAAATAATTTTCCTCTGACCATATATCTCCCAATTTACACCCCATACACAATACTTGTGCTTATCTCAGTAAGATTTAAAGCTTTGGGGGATAGGATATAAACAGAGAGGAGCGAGTCATGCATATAACCTTGAGCTGTAGGGTACATAGCCTGGTTGATCAGTTTGCATGGAAATTAGGGTTTTCCCTGTTTCAAATTTAAAAATGTTCAGACTAGTGATAGGACTTGCACAATGGAGAAGTCCCCTTGCTTTCTCCTTCCTTATCACAGCAGAAGAATCTACAGTAACAACTAGAAAACTGACAAATAATTTGGAATCTTCACTCTGTTGTGGTGCTATCCCAGTATTTGGGATGTGTGCTTATACTACCCTTTTCAATGGTTCTGATACAATAAATGCAAGAGAGAAGACTTTTTGAATCAATGCAGGGAAAGATAAATCAATGTTTCAATGTTGTCTTGATACTAAATATCCTTTCTTAGTTTTTTTTCTGAGACAATGTAAAAGACACTGATATCTATAAAGCAATATCCCTGCTTTGTGCCCTTACTGAAATAGCTTCCAGTTTGTCAGTTTTGCAAAACTTGCAACACATTAATTTGACAAAAGTGATCCTTGGTTGATGAGCATTGAAGTATATTTTTTTCCAGCATCTCAGACTTTGTGTGTAAATTACTAAATGGTTTTGCAAGGTTGCTCCATCATGTTACACTGGTCAGATGAATTCACAGGAGAAACTTATTCCTCCTCGCAGACTCAACATCTGCCCTCACTCCAAAGGGGAGCACAGCTTGCATTTTGCAGGTAGCTTTTCCAGCATCTCTTTAGTGTATATTTTCTTTGGACCTACAAGGGAGCTTTACTCTGAATTTCAGTGACAATTTACTCTGGCATTACAAAGCCCTTCCAAAATAGCTGTTCTTTCTGGTGTCTTTGATGCAGACTGATGCACTACCTAGACCTGTCAAAGTATTTCAAAACTAGCAGTAAACAAAAATATTGTATTTTTTTATGTAGTTCCCAGAACACAGACAGGCAAGTATGGTAGAGAATCAGATGAAAGTACTGACTACAAAGAGTCCTCATCTCCAAAGAGCTTAAATGTCATTAGATGACATTTGGCTAACCACGTCTTGATGCCTTTATAATGGAGGTGGGAAGAAAACCAGAGCAGATTCATCATGTAGATTCACTTCACCTTTCAGGAAAGGACATGACAGCTAGAGTTGTTAATGCAGCTTGGTTTTAGGAGGAGCAAATGGCATGGAAACAACTAGGGAGTGCAAAAATCAAGAGATCCAGTTTTGACAGTATAGCTCACAGCTATGCTAGGCTGTTCTGCTTGTAAGATCCTTATGGGATTCCCCTTGTTGAGAAAATAATTAAAATGTGCACTGACCAGTTATGTGATATGATTCTCTTCACTACCACCTAGTGGGAAACTCCTTCATTAACTGAACTCCAGAGCTGTTCCTGTTCAACTCATCCTCACCCTGATGATAGAAACAGTGTATAAGCAAAGGGGAAATGGAGGGGTGACACAGTCCTATTTCTCCATACCAGAATAGGAATGGAGAGAAAGAAACAGCCAGCCTATAATTTAAACACATTATAGGCTATGGCATTATCACACTATACCTTCCAGCTCTGCAGCCAGTTAGTTCAGTTCTTAATAGCTGTTACACCTTAGCCTCAGTCTGAGGCTCCTAAAACTTAAACACAATCTTTGGTGATACAGAGGAAAACATTAATTCTTCTGAATGAAACTGCAACCTGCAAACAGTGGTAAGGAGAAACTTGTGAAGCTATTCCTGTGTCTCGGTCAAAAGACAGCCTCCCTCTCTTGGTTCTGAAAATGTTGGTGGTTCTAATTCAGAAGTAGGAACGGAGGCAAAAAAAAAAAAACAAACACATGACTCTCCTCTGCAAAAATCACATTTTCAGTTATCACATATTTACAACAGACTACTCAATTAAAGCATAAAATGGCTATATATTGGGAACATTAAAAGCATGTATTCAAGTAAGTTCTTTCCCACTGAGATACACAGGGTTTGCACAAATAGCTGGAATCCAACCCTATGAAAACAATATATAAATGACAATTACCTTGGATTTTTCAGAGTCATGTGCCAAGCTCCCAGGGCACAAATAATCGGTTTTGTCACTTGCATAACCTTCTTTTCCCCAAGCACAGAAATAGGGGTGAACATATAACAACTCGGATATCACAGAGGTGAGGATGTTAATGTCATTCAGGCCAATAAAGCATTTAGCAATCTCAGCAGGAAGAACAGTAAAATGGTAAATAAATAAACTATTAAGAGAACCGCTTCTCTGTGTTTCTTTTGCCAATGGCAATTTTACCACCCTTTTCATGGAACTCTGCAGGCTCCCTCCACTAGCACTTGTATCATAAAAATATTTGGATTTCTTTCTTTCCCAATATGCTCCTTGAAATCACATTAGGCTGGCTTTATCCTAGCATATTACTGTATTGTTCATGATGTACACTTAGTGATAGATATAATTCAATAAATGGAAACAAAGGTAATAGATGTATTGATTTGAGAATTCAGGCTTTAGGAGTCTTACCTGCCTTCCATTCTGTTCACCAGACTCTACGATCTGTTACTTTGGTAATAAGTGTAATAAGCAGAATACAGACCAGTACATCTAAAATAAGAATAATTTTCCTATTCTCTACCTATTTATGCTTTCATGCACTAGTTATCAGTATTAAACAATCCACTTTATTACACGTAGTGGAGAAAGGATTACATTGGGACAGTTAATTGAGGCAGACTATTAGACATCAATAAAAACTGGAGGAACCATGGACATCCTTGCCTCAAAAGGCAACAAATGTCTACCTAGGAAGGATATTGGAGAATGCCAGGAGCCCAGCTTTATGAAATGGCTGTCATACAGTGTTATCTGACTGCCTACTACTTCAGGAGAAATGAAGAAAATAACAGCAGAAAAATGCATCAAAGTTGTATTAAAGTGCACAGAAAACAAGGCAAAGTATTCAAGTGTGTTTAAACAATCTTTATTAAACTTGCCATTAAACTAAAATAGAAATCAGACTTCCTGTGATTATTTACTGAACTATTTTTGCAATCTGAATCCAAACCGATTTGATAATAAAACATTTTTTGTGAGCCTGCTGTTAATCTGGCCAGTTTAGTGTTGTAAAGCTGCTTATGCCTTGTCACTGAAGCACTGAATTTGAGGGAGTTCAGCCACCATATTAGTTACATCTAGGGAAAAACAAGCAATTTTGCAGAAAAACAAAAACAGATACTGTAAACATGAGAACAAGAAGCAGCATCTTTCAGTCTTTTCAAACTTCAAAAACTTGCCCTATGACAATTACAAAGATCATGTTAGGCTGGGTAAATTAAGAATCAAGTAATGGCCCAGCAAATTGTTTTGCCATACCCATTTTCATTTATTACCAGTGCTTAGTATATGTTGATTTCCTTAATTGCAACAAACTCCTTTTCTTTCAAATACTCATTCTCAAGGCAAAATCTGTGAGGTACAATTTAGTTACAAGAGTATTATGGATTATGGCACCCTGCTATTTAGCTCCTGCTCTCCTACTAGAACTATAATTTAGTCGGTTAAAGCATTGCAACGCATTGCAGCTTCCACCCTTGACCTCTGCTGTCCTTATTACCTCAGAACAGCATATTGTGGCACTCATAATAATCTGAGAAAAAACGATATTGCAATCTTTATTGTCCATGTCTAAAATAGGAGTAATTCACAGCAGCAGTCTCCTGTCTACTTCCCAAGTGTTCAGTCTGATTGCTAGCAATTTGTAATGTTTAAGAAACACTAAAAAGGTCACTAGTTTTCCTGCGCTGAAGAACCTGAAATACTTAATGGAGTCCTGAACCATTAACTAGCAGGGTCTGGCAGGTTACAGTGGATATAAAGGTGATGCTGTAGAAGCTGAAAGAAAGTTTCTTTCTTTCATGTTTTGTTAATTGTCTAGACTACTACAGTTTAAAGTGGGCAACTCTAATAGACCAAGGGAAAAAGCACTTCAGGTGAAAGCGATAGAGAGTATTTACCTCCTCCTCAGTATTTGAAAGGTTTCCATTTTCAGCTCACAGTTCTCCACATGGCAGCCGGCTGTAGCATTCAATGAGGTCCTAACATACAAACAGATGTTCATTTCTGTTTCTAAAGTCTTCAAATTTCACCAGTTTCAAACCAGGCTATTTTAAACCCCCCTGCAACTGAAGGTCCCCAGGGCAAGCAGAAGCATCAGGGAAAGGGCTTTTGGATGCATAAAGAATCCTTGAAGCCACACAACACAGACAGACAATTTGTTGCTGTGTTTTCTTCTCTTCATGGTTTCCCTTGACAAAGACTGCTGTTTCTGCCTGAAGTTTAGGTTGTTTGTCCCTCTCATTCCTCCCCAAGCATGCAAGAGACAGACTTACAGAAAACAGATTGGACAATCTTTTAAATAACAACAATGATATTTTCCATCTTAGTTTAGGTAAAAGAAATCACCGTGCCACAGAAAAACAGAAGTAACCTAGTATGACAGAATCTTCTGTCACATATGGTAGGAGGCCCACAATCTGTTATCCCCATTTGCAAAGTTCTTAAATTATAAGGATGTATTGTGAATAAAATACATATCATAGTTGGATACTATAATTACAATTTGCAATTACTGTTACTGACCAGCATTGGCATGTCTATGGAAGAGAAAAATGAGCACAATTGAAATCACAAGTAAAATGCATATAAATTGTATCAAAACAGTGATACGACGATCCAAAAGAACTCATCGCTCCTTAAATGCTCTTGCAGTATAACAATAAACAAACCTTTAGAAACCAACGATGTATTTTTATATTAATGTAAGAAACTTTCTTGTGAATATTAAGTATTTTTACATGGATTCCAAATGGTTACTTCTTCTTTTTTTGCCTCACAGTCTTCTGTAGCCATCTGAACTTGTCTTAGGTCACTGCAGCAAGGGGAGCTGGTGGTACCCTGGGCGCAGATGCAGAAGAAGGGGTCCAGTCTGAAAAAGAGCTTTATCCTTCAGCTGCTGACTTCAGCATTTTGTCACTGCAGCCCAGAGAGCATGGCTAATGCTGCCCACAAAGGGAAATTGGAGCCAAGGTCACCTTGCAGCATTGTCTCAGGACACCAGTGAGTTTTGGAACTAGTGAGTTTTGAAACTGGGCTCCCCTTAGCTTGGGTTTGAGGGGAGTGTGTAATGAGACAAAGTAGTTGCCCCTAGGAAACCGCCATTAAAACATTGGTTTTAAATCCTCTTGATCACGTAAGAAGGAATCACTTGCACAAGATGCTCATGCACGATCAAGTCCACACCATGATATTTCCTAATTTAGCCACACAAAGCAGATACAGTCATTTATATATTTTCAGAGCAGAGAAGACCTTTGTCATAACGACTCCCCGAGAACTGCACTAAATAATTCCAGCTGAGCTAGAGAACATGTTTTCAGAAGTCACCCAACAGGTGGGAGTAGAACATTAGAGAGGGGCTGGTATCAAGAGAGAGTAATAAATGGGAACCAAAGCCGGCACTTCTCAGAAGTAGGGCAACTGAAGATAGGAGAGGGACTTTCAGCATATACCAACACCCAGGGCTATTCCTTATCATGTGCTCGAATCACAAGCTCAATGGGGCAAGCCCTGTAATCCTCTGAATTATGTGGGTACACTGCACCTGCTCATCAGTTAAGCAATAAACATGGCAAGTTATAATGGTGGGACTGGGATTTGTATACCGAGATACCCAGCAAGCAAAAATGCAGAAGTGAAAAAGTCGTTCAACACTTGATATTCTGCTGCAGAAGCCAGCTGGATCTCCAGAATGTCCTGTGAGTCTTGGGAACATTTATATAAACCCAGCCATTGCTCTTCTCTACTGGAGGGTTGCACAAGGGCTAACGAGGCTGCCAAGGCAGCTTTCTCACAGCCTCAAGCAGCTTTCTCTCAGCCCAAAGCCTTCCTCAGGGGCTGCGAGTAGCTCAACTTCACCCCAGCCAGAGCTCTGAGTAGGCTCTGCCATCTTCCAACAGCACCACCTTCTCCTGAACCAGGCAGAGCCCAACGTGCCTCTTCCACTTGGCTACTCCATCTCCTTCCTTCTCTAAATCCAATAGGGCCAAAAATAAGTCATGTTTTTCCTTTCTCGTTCTCCCCTTTTCTTTTTCCATGGCTTACTTTTCTTCTCCATGCTGGCAGAACTTCTACCCCTTCGTTTTACTCTCCTTCTCCCTTCTGCTTCCCTCCCTTTCCCCCTCCCCCTGCTTTCTCTCCCTCTGCACTTTGTGAACTGCTGCTGCAGTGCTGAAGTCCAAAGTTCAGTAACTTGCTAAGCACACAGATAAATATGAACCTTGGAGAATTTACATTGCTCCAATGTAAACAGATAGCCAAGGGTCCCTTTATCAGCACTGGCTCAGGACAGTCGTGGGGGGTCTGAAGTGGCTCAATTTTGTATTTTGTTTTTTTTGGGGGGGCGTAAAGGCGGGAGGCTGTGCTGTGCCCACTCTGCTGACAGTCGGGCGCGTTACCTCAGGAACATGGTGTAGGGAAGCTGGAAGCGGGATAACCTGGAATTCAGAGCCAAGGGACACCAGCCTGAAGACCATGGTCTCGAAGCTGAGTCATCTTCAAGTGGAGCTGCTGGGAGCGCTGCTGGAGTCGGGGCTAACCAAGGAGACCCTGATTAAGGCACTGAGCGAAGTGGAACCCTACATGCTCCAGAGTGAAAGTCAGCGCGCCATCAATGCCCTCCAGACAGAGAAAGGGGAATCTTGTCCCAAAATCCCCAATCTCCCCAATGGAATGGGGGAATCCAGGTTATCGGAAGATGAAACCTCTGATGACGGGGAGGAATTTACTCCGCCGATAATGAAGGAGCTGGAAAACTTGAGCCCTGAGGAGGCTGCTCACCAGAAGGCTGTGGTGGAAAGACTATTACAGTAAGGCTCCTCTTTGCTGCTTTCTTGTATTCTCCCTCTAAATCTCTTTTCCTTATCCCTTCCGCTCAATGTTCCTGGTATTCACAATTGATCTAGCTGGAGAGACAGTCTTCAACCATGCCCAGACTAGCAGCTCTCCCAAAACACTCCCCCAGTTCCTTACAGATGCTCAAACTTTCTCTTTTAATCTCACTTAAAATGCATAAAGGGAGCCCTGGACCCTGATTACATATTTGAAATGCTCATATCATCTAGCTTGAGGACAGTCCGAGGCCTGTATAACTTACATCTCTGACTAAATGCTAGTTTTTAAGATTTACATTTTTGTAGGATTCACAATTTCAGTCATTGAGGGATGAAAAAAGAAAACATATGTGGTCACTCTTAACTGGTATCATATTAGCCTATGAATTTATCGTAAATTGAACTTGTAATGCTCTTCTGCTATTTTTAAGGAGATAAATATTTTTAATTTTACCATTTTCTTTTGCTACAGATTATTGGTCTAAGACAAACCAAGAGAACTTGTTCTTGTCATTCCTGCAAGTGCAAAGTTCTCCTCACTTCACTGGAGATTTTTCTTGTAGAAAGAGCACAAATCAAATAGACGCAGAAGTTAAAATCTAGGCAGAACAAACTACGCTTCTACCATCTGCTGCCTGTCACAACTACAACAGAACACATACAGCAACAATTACAGGTTTTACTGCCACACAATTTTGCCTTTGCATACAGGCATTTTTGAAATGAAAAAACAGGCAGAGTTCCCTGAGCCAGTAAGCCTTGTAACAGACTCAGAAAAACATTCACCGAGATTCCTGTTTGGGATTCTTCCTGGGATACTATTCCTGTGGGCAAGCTAAGAGGTTTGCCCAAGCAAGGACTGGATCCATCCCAAGCTATCTAGCACAACAGAAGCAGAATCTTGCCCATTTGTTTTAGGGGTGGGTATTTTGAAATCACAAGCTGACAGAAGACACAGAACGCAGCAATGTTCTGCACTTAAAATCTTCACTAAAACCCAGTTAGAGAATTTCTCAAGCTTTCTGGTCACTCCTCTTCATAAGCAAACAAAATTAATATAAAAGGTAAAAACAAGAGGCAAACTTAAAATCCCACCACAAAGGCCAGAGCTAGGAAAACACTATGTCAAGAGTTTGATTTCACTGTAAATACTTAAGAGGTGAAAGCTCCCTGGGAGACTGGGAGCTGATGACTCTGCAGTACCCATCAGAGGTAAATTCACTGGATCAGCTCTTACCTGGGTGGGGAGAGCATTCCCAGCAATTCAGTCTTCTTTTTGGACCAGTAACTCTTTCTCCTCTCGTCTTCCCCCCTTCCAGCTGTTACATCTTTTAGTCTCCTCTGTTCCCCTTACTTTTCTTCTCCCTTGTTCTTTTTAGCTATTCCCTTTTCTCTCCGCTACTAACCCTCCCATTTTGATGTCTTCCTGGCTAATTTTCCCTCTCCCTTCCACACTTGTTTCTTTCCCCTCATCCTTGTCTCCTTCTCGTCTCCCTGAGTCTGCGTACAGGTCTTGGGGTAGTTTGAGACCAGTGGCACCGGGCGGGCCCTGGCTAGTTACTAATTATCCAATGGCTTTATTATTTCTCTTTTGTCTTATAAATTTATAGATGAAAAGCCCCTGATAAGCTTTTTGATCATTAACTTCTGATCAGGTATCTTTCCACAAAGGCAGCCATGGAAGCTGAAGAGGAGCACCTGGCTTTGTCCCATTCTCTCTGATGAATGGGTGAAGCAGGACTAACATGCCATCCCCTCTGATCTGAGAACAGACTCGCAGATGGAATTCTTTCCTGTCACCTTCAATTCAGTGTGAAATCTGTTTTCTGAGCCTCCCTGCCATTCTGGGAACTTGCTACTGGTCTTTCCTGTGCTTATTACCAGCCTCAGCACAACACTTACCTCTCCTGCAAATCTGTAACATTAATGCTTTCCAATCAGTCTCCCATCTCTCTGCAGAGTCAACTGAGCAGCATTCCCCTTTTATAGAATGGGATTCTATGACTTACCTAAACATTAGGAGAGCAGACAGAGGACTGGGCAAGAACCAGGATCTTCTAAGCCTCGTACTGGGTCTTAATTGCAAAGCTTTGTTCTGAACTCCAAAACTTTATTCTGTCACTCCCCAGTACTACAGGATAGAGTAATTTACTTCTGCTGCTCCAGAGAGTATGAAGGGGACCAAAAGCCCCAGTTTCAGCCAATAAGTTAGAAGCACACTTATGAAGGAATATAATAGATCAAAATTATTCAAGATAAAGTGAATATAGTAGGAAATCTGTATCATCAAGTTTCAAATTTCTGATCAAAGACATATATAAAAATGAATTTAAAGCAATTGTATGTCTGGGGATCTATTTGAAGTATCTGAACCAGTATCAGGGTTTGATAATATCTAAGCAGTTATTACCTATTAATAAACATCTTTTTGGTTTTAAGAACAAACCTTTCCATTAACATATGGAAAAAGGTAATGTCCTTAAAATAATATTGTAAATAATTACAGGCAAGGCAGAACAGTCTGTAGTGGAAATTACTGCCAGCCACAAATAAAAGGAAGGAAGGCAAGAACTAATCTCCAAGCCCAGGTATCCACAGTAGAATTTTAATGCTTGCAAAGCTATTTCAGCATCCACACAAGGATTTCAAATCTAGAAACTCGATGGAGGCACTTCTGCCTTTAGACAGAAGCTTCTTTGGCCTAACAATTCCTGGTCTAACACTGTAAACCACATTTGAACAGAAAGATTGACTTGTGGGCAGCTACAAGAGATAGAAGAAAGTCTTTGTGGTAACTGCAGGCATTGCTCGTTAAGTAGCATCAGGAAAGAAACCATTGCTAGGCTTACCAGGTGGTGGAAAGGAAAAGTGATAGCATCAAGAGACCAAATATGTCCTCACAGGACCACTGAAGTTGAAGCCACAGTTTCAGAACCACTAAGCACAGATGAGCAAAACAGGATGTAGACAAGAGACATCCACGAACAGGGTAAACCTATGGGCATTTATTACATTTTGTCCCTGCAGGAAACAGCTGACAGAGGAAGTTCATACAAAGGTTTCCCTAGTGAGGAATTAATATTCTATTTCATCCCTAAATCTATCTCACTGATCTTCCATAAATTTGCAATTTGAATAACAACATTCTTTCTAAATCACTCTACACAAAGAACTGCATCTTTGATAAAGAATAAATAACTCACTAGTAAGGTGGAGCTGTGTGGAGTAATTATCAGGTATTACCTAGAGTAGAAGGCAAGAAAGAAGCTACCTTGGGAAAAGGGACAGATCGTACATGTACAGCAAATAGAGACATATAGCAACAATTCACCTGTAGGGCAAGGGGTAAAATTCCATTAGGAAAGACAGAAATGGAGATAAGCAACCAATCTCCCCTGGAGGCAGGGATAAAAGCATGTTTTCCACAAGGAAAAATTAAAACAAAGATCTGATGATAAAGGGTCAATCTTTTCCCCATTGACAGTGCGTCTTAGAATAGCTCTAGCTGGGGATTCTGGAGATGAAGCTGCCACACCCCTTTCATTTCCACATATAAACCAAGATGAGGCAAACCAGGCCAAGTTCAATAGAAAGGAACCCTGCCGGATGGTCTTACCTTCCCTGCTCTCTGCCTAGCCCGGCTCCAGTCTGTGCACTGATATCAGTGAGAGTTGTCTGGCACGCTCCAGAAGAAAGGGCCAAAGGATGGTCCAGAGAACTTCCTGGCTCTGAACCTCTGCTTAAGCGAGGTCTGGTCCAAAGCAGAAATTCAGAACCTATCTTGAGGAAATGAAGGATTCTCTTACCTGAGAATCTGAGAACAAGAACGAAGGAAAGGAGAGAAGGAAAAAAAAATGAGGAAGAGGAGGAGAAAGAAAGGAACAAAGGAGAAAGAAAGAAAAGTCAGTAATAGTGAAGGAAGGAGAAGGTCCCCTGAATGTTACATCTCCAGCTCTCTGGAATGGGTTTTCTTTAATGCTAACAACTTGATATTTACTTTCCATTTAAATTTGAGATGTTGCTATAAATTATCAACCAGCCTCTTGTTCCCTTTGAGTTTATAACTAACTACCTGGGTTACTTATTGTTCAGGTAACAAAAGGGAGGTGAAAACGCCCTTAAAAAGTGACCTCAGAACTAAGAAAATGGGAAGCCGGAATGCAGAGAGGACCCAGGCCCCTGTGGCTGAGATGAGTCAGGGAGAAGGGCTATGCTCAGAGGGTGAGATGAAGCTGACAGCAGGACAGCAAGACTTAGGAAAAAGGAAGTAAAAACTATGTGAGAAGAATCTGCAGGCAGAAATTAGACCTGGGAGAACAAGAGAGGAGTGGGGAAACAGCTTGCATCCGAGAAGAAATAAAAGAAAAAACAGATAAGAGGCAGATAGAAGAGAGTTTGAGAAAGGCAGACCCATTCCCACAGTTCTAACTCAGGAATTGAGATTTTAGTGCACCTACAGCCAGGAAAACTAGGTTTAGAGTGAAATCCTGCCTTCTGACAGTCAATGAGTCTTACCACCAGTGAAGGTTTCACTTTATGGTGTCTTAGACAACAATAAAGACATGGAACTCAGTGTTTGGGCAATAGTTCGTGTGAGGTCCAGCTGACCAACTGCCACCACTTGCTCTGTGATGTAGCCTAGGGCCAAAAAAATTGCTGCATTGATATTACAGCCTGTGTTTTGACAGCATACAGAGTAGCTTGGATTTCATACAGCTGCCCTACAAAATCATACAGGGCTAAGACTCCCCTGCACTATTTTACCTCAAAGAACTCTTTCTGCTTTGTCTCAAAACAAAATAGAAATACACAATGCTTTGAAGTACTGTAAAAAGAGACTCTCAGGTTCTTCCTGCTTTATTTCTACCTCAAAGAAGTAAGGAAGGCAGAAGGAGACTCCTTGTCAGAGGAGATAGAAGTGACTCATGATCAGGGTGCAGGAAGGAAATCAATATGTAACAGAGGTTCCCATCAGTAATACCAGTCCCTCCTCCCCCCCCTCTGAGCCAGGGCTCAAATCTAAGAGATCACAGATTCCAAGTCTGAGCCTTTTCTCCTTTGTACAGGAACTTGCGTAACAAATTCAGGGTATATGTGCTGGCTAGACTATCACAAATACAGAGGAAAGAGATTGATCCTTGGTTTGGATGGTAAGAGAAGAAAAAGACACTGAGAAAGTGAAAGCTTTCATGAGTTCAGCCAACCTGAGGCTACTGAAAGACAAAGACGGTAAAGGGAAGAGGCTAGAAGACAGAATCCTCTATAGCAACTGTACCATCATAGGAGAGAAGCAAACGGTTCTATTTTAAGAAAACAGAATTTTCAGAGAGCTATAACTGACACTGCTTCTGTCATACTTTAACTGCAGCAGAGCTTGTTCCTTGGACTATCCAGCCACTGGGAAGGAGACTGTGAGGGGAACAGAGATAAGGGTGTTTGCACTGAGAGAACAGGTGTGGACTTTGTCCGCCTTATCACTTTGCAGCCTCCGGCAACTTACTGAGTCAACAAAGCCATGAATAGTACAGCTGTTGCCTGTTGCTCAGACCTGTGTGCACTTGCAACAGTTTCTCCATAATCCTAGGTACATTTTTCCCCTGCTGTTACTCCTTTGATGCTGGTGTTGGATGCCACACCACTGCATTTCTACAGCGCACAAACCACTTCCACCAGAGATTTCACAGATGATATACAGCAGGATGCTCTCTGTTAAAAACTAACCCAGAATCTTTTCCATAGAGGCTCCTGCACTTTTTGGTTCTAGACTGCATGATTTCACATCTGTTTTTATTGTAATTTTCAGTGCTAGTGAAATTGATACACACAAAGAAGTCACAAAGTTATGTTTTCTCTATTTCCCTTAGGAACTGACATGGATATTCCAACAGGTGACCTTCACTATCAGAGATTCACAGTCATTATAAAATCCCAAATCATATTAGTGTCAAGTTTTGTGAACAGGTCTCAAGTAGGTCTGTCTGTTCCTTCAGCTGTTACCCCAAAGGAAGGTGGCAATAAGATGGTTTCTTGTTCTTCTGTAAAGCATGTAGTTTGAGTGGGTCTAGATGCAAATCAGTGGAATTGCACAACACAGCTGATGTGCAAAACCATAACCCTGGATGGCTTGGTGTACATATGCATACAGAGCTGTTGTGTGACACTATGACGAAAGCCTGTTCTTATTTCCTACACCACTGCACGGGATCTCCTTGACAAGATTCAGGGCATGAGCTAGGTTCAGCATAATATCAGAATGAATCTGTCCAGGAAAAATGAAGTACATTTACCCCAGCACCTATACCTTAAAGGAGGAGAATAGAGAAGAAAAGGTACATAGAGAATGGCAAGAGATGTCGACTCCAGAAAAAATATCTATAACCATAAAACATCTAGCTGAATGCTGAAATCCAATGTCACTTATAGCATTTATTTCTCACTAGCAGCAAAAAAAAAATCTTTACTTTTGCATTACTTTCCAGCAGAAAGATGCATTCTTTGCTCATTTGCTGGTCAGCGCTTTCTGTCATTCACAGATGACAACTGCCTAGACAGAGCAGGGCAAAACCTTGCACAGAACTGAACACAGATGGCAAAGACAACAGCTACATATTGGGAAATTCATTTGATAACCACAGATGACTCCTCTTCTAAAGAGAAATCAAAGTGCCTGCAGAGATCAGTTTAAGGGAAGCTACTGCTATTTCTTCTCCACCTTATTTCTGATGCCATGCAGTTTTTACCCTGAATGCACAGCCAAATTGAACAAGGTTCAGGACAGCGAGGAATACCTTTCCCTTATTCAGCCAGTTAACGCTCTTGCCTCGCCACATGCAGTGGTGATGGCTGATATGCCTCTAGAAGCTCTAGTGCACATCCTTGGCATCCAGGTCTGCTGAGCACTGGCGTTAGAGATGGTTCTCCTGAGGAATGTTTTCTGCTCCTTCCAGAGAGGATCCCTGGCGGGTAGCAAAGATGGTGAAATCCTACCTCCAGCAGCACAACATCCCTCAGCGCGAGGTGGTGGACACTACTGGTCTGAACCAATCTCACCTCTCGCAGCACCTCAACAAGGGCACTCCCATGAAGACCCAAAAAAGGGCAGCCCTCTACACCTGGTATGTCCGTAAGCAGCGAGAGGTGGCCCAGCGTAAGTATGGCAACAATTGTTCTCCTATCCCTAATTCCATAAAAGCCTGTGCTGTCTCTCGCTAATCCTTACTCCCCGTTTATATCAAGGAAAAGCCACTTTTGGCAGAAAGCTTAGAGAAGTCCATGCCAGTACTCAAACTGTACATGGAGAAACACCCCCTCATGAAGCAGCCTGCACTTATCCTGCACCCCAACCCTCATTTGGCTAAAGAGAAGCAACCCAACATTATCTATTTGCAATTACAGTTTGATACCCATCCTCAGATTAAAACAGTGTAGGCTGACAGAGACAAAATTTCTGCCTGAGAACCAGGCTTTTGCAGTTTCAGCTAAAGCAACAGTTCCCCTAGCTGCAAAAAGCAGCATGCGGCAGTACTTGCCACAGCAAAGCACTGCTGGCTATCACCTCATGCATTATAAACCCTCTCTTTATGGGCACTCATTGGGAACCCATCCCTGCAGCATGCAATTCTGTATTCCAAGAGTCTGCCTGGAACTGGCCACACTTAATTTTGTATTGATGGGTTGCAAGTAAAATGAGGCATTTGGCCTTCATATTGCTCTGGAGAGCAGGACTCCAGGCATACTTACTCTGAAGTCTCCTGCATCGGCTTTCACTCCTCCGAGCTGTGAGCAAAGATATAATCCATGCAGAAAAGGACAGGCAGCCTGTCATTTTTGCTTCCCAAAAGCAAATTCCTTTGCCCTCTTGTGCCTGCAGAATTCACACATGCTGGCCAGGGTATCCTGACAGAGGAACCCATGGGAGACGATCTGCCCACCAAGAAGGGACGAAGAAACCGCTTTAAGTGGGGCCCTGCCTCACAACAGATCCTGTTCCAAGCCTATGAGAGACAGAAAAACCCCAGCAAAGAAGAGAGAGAGGCACTGGTGGAAGAGTGCAACAGGTAAAGTTGGGTGTCTGGCTTTGAGGAAGGGCAGAGCAGGCTCTCTCTGCATTCCCAGTATGCTAGAGCCTGTGAGAGGTGGCACAGCAGTGACACAGCAGTGGATGTCACCATTGCCACCAGCCACACTTGAATGAAATGCCACTGCTGAACATCTCCTGTTCACACAGGATCCAGTAATGCCCCACATCTTGCAGGATCCTTCCACATGGTGTGCAAGGCCACAGCCACTTTGGGGCTGTGCACTTAACTCCGTGTCTTTGACTAAGGTGAGCTCAGCAAGACTCTTCTTGTGCTTTCTCCTAACAGAGCAGAGTGTATTCAGAGAGGAGTTTCCCCATCCCAGGCCCAGGGCCTGGGCTCGAACCTGGTGACCGAGGTGCGAGTTTACAACTGGTTTGCCAACCGCAGGAAGGAGGAGGCTTTCCGGCACAAGCTGGCCATGGACACCTTCAGCGGGCCACAGCCCACCCCTGCTCCCCCCCTAACTCCTCACAACTCGTCCTCCCTCCAGCCACCATCTGCTCT